GCTCTTTTAAGGTCTTCAGGGAATAGTCTGAGAAGGGCAATAGCAGGGTCAAATGGTGGTTCCATTCCCAGCTTTCCCAGGAATCTCCATACTGCTTTTCAAATTGGCCGCACCAATTTGCAGTCCCACCAGCAATGTACAAGTGTACCCTTTTCCCCACATGGCTGGAGTCTTTCAATCCCTCATCCCCCTGCTCAGTTAACTGGAATCTGAGAGAGGGAACACCAGGCCTGGGATGGGGCCCCATGAGGTCCATTGATGACCCATTTCTTGAAACATTTGTCTGTGGCCTGGAGAAATAGTTATGGAGAAGTTGGGATTCTGGAAGAACCAGGAAGTTGTGGTCTGGTCAATAGAGGGGAGGTGGAGTGTGGAGGGGACCATATGCAGAAGGACCAGGACATTTCACTGGGCTTGAAAGAGGACAACCCAGAGGGATGCATGCAGAATGTGAAGATATAGGGGCCTGGAAAGGTCCCAGTATGCCCCCTTTCCAGAGAGCTTTCAATCAAGTGGAACTACAATGCACCAATAAAACTGTGGGAAAAAATAAAGTAATACCTGTTATGATTAAAAAATAAAGCTACAAAAAAATCAAGGTAGATTTTATTTTGTTGTTTCTGCTTGAACAAGAAGGTCAAGACCACTGCTCCAAGACCATTCCAGACCTCAGTCAGATTTTTTGTACTTTTGACTCATTATGATTTTAATGTTTTTTGGCACTGGGGATTGAACTCAGGGGTGTTTTACCACTGCTACATCCCCAGCCCTTTCTATTTTTTATTTTGAAATAGGACTTTGCTAAGTAGCTGAAACTGGCCTCAAACTTGTGATCCTCCTGCTTCAGCCTCCCAAGTCACTGGGACTACAGGTGTGTGCCACTGTGTCTGTTTTGATTCATTATACTTTTTTTGGAGGGCAGGGGTATTGGGGATTGAATTGGGGGAACTCAACCATTGAGCCACAACTCCAGCCCAATTTTGTATTTTCTTTTGAGACAGAGTCTCACTGAGTTGCTTATGCATCGCTTTTTTTTTGCTGAGGCTGGCTTTGAACTTGTGATCCTCGTGCCTCAGCCTCCCACACTGCTGGGATTACAGGTGTGTGCCACCTCGTCTGGCTTGACTCATTATACTTTTTAAAAAGGACCCCTTAAATGAATTTACATGGGGAAAGGGCAGAGGAAAACTATTCTGCACCCTAATGTTAAGGCCCCTAAAAATATCCACGGAGCACATGTTCCCTTCTTCCAGCAAATGCGTTTTGTGCAAAGTGAGACTTTCCTGCTGGAAAGAAATCTACCTTTCTTTTTTGTGCTTTTGAAATAGCTCTTGTCAATTCTCATTGAAGAATTAGTTTCAAAGTCTTCAGGTTGATTTCTTTTTCTTTTTCACATAAAGAGAAGGGAATGAAACAGCTGATACTTTCATCAGAGAAGTTTCAATTCTGAACTGGCAAAGCAGATAGGGACCTCTTCATCCTCTGCTGAGCGCCCTCTGCCTCCTTACCAGGAAGATGGTTGCCCCTCCAGCAAGGGAGGACAGTGTTTGGAGTGAAAGTTATTTATAACTTGAAAAGCTACCAATGAGAGGATGAAGAAGCGGGAGCCCCTGTCATCAGAAACTCACATGACAGGCCGTGTGTGTGTGTGTGTGTGTGTGTGTGTGTGTGTGTGTGTGCGCGTGTGTGTGTGCGTGTTGGGCAGGGAGGAGAGGGCAGGTGGCTGCTGCTGGATCCTCAGTGATGCTGAGGTTAGTGGCTCCTTGGTCCCTGGCCATCCCCAGGAGCAGTGGCTTCCTTCTGGCTCCCTCTCTAATCCCCCCGGGACTGTCTCTTTGCTGTCCTCTCTGCTGCTGACCCCACAGCCGACCCTGTGGCCTGAGACGCTGCCAGGCCCTGACACTGCAGAAGGCCAAGGACTGCAGCTCTGAGTGGAGCCACCATGAAGAGTTCCTTTCCCCAAACAATTCTGTGAGCCAAGAAAGTGTCTGTGCAGATGAAGTGTGCAGTCTTGCACGAGGAGCCCCAGCCGGGCCTTGCATGCTGGCTGAGCCCCTGGCGCTGTGCCCAGAGTGCGGAGGGCTGAGGCGTCCTCACAGTCTGCACGGAGCACCTGATCTTTCTCCAGACTGTGGTCAGCAGCAAGTGCTGGCTTAGCAACAGATCGAAATAGGAAGTCCCAACCCTTGGGGTTGATCTAGGACATTGCCCCGAGCTCCTTCCCTCCTGGAGAAGGTGGGACTCTTCCGGCCACAGGAGCAGGCTGGTGGCAGGTGGAAGCTGTCCGACTCAGCTCTCTCCTGCGTGATTCTTTTCCTCTCCCATGCAACCTGGTGAGTCCACGCCTCCTTCTTGTCTACCTGGCTGCATCATGTCTTACACTTCCTGTTCCAGGAAGCATTCCCTGGGCACCCTGTCATCAGTGTCCCTTCTGAGCTCCTGGGTCATTTGCCCTGCATGGCTCACCTGGGCTGTGTGCTTAGTCATCCCTTTCTGTCTAACTTTGCGATCCAGCTCCTGGAGGACAGAAATCATGTCCTCATTTGCTGCAGTCATGGCCTTGGGTGCATAAGCATCAGTCAGATCCTTTCAGGAAGGTTGTCCACCTGAGTTTGTCTTATGGAGCTGTCAGCTGGTCCCTAAGGCCATACTGTGACAACAGTAACTTCTATCAGTACCACTCTCACCCCAGCTGCCACCCTTCCTGTTATTGCCTTTGAGATCATATCTGTTTCGCATTCATTATTTTCATTTGATCTTTGCAATCATTCTTTTAAATAGATGGGTCATGTATTAATTTTTTTCCCTAGTAGATGAAAATACTGAGGTTCAGAGAGGTCAAATAATCAGCCCAGGGTCACCCAGCTGACATTTTCTTTTTTTGTTTTTTGAATTTTTAGAGATGTCAATAACATCTTTATTTTATTCATTTATTCATATGTGGTGCTGAGAATCGAATCCAGGGCCTTGCACATGCTAGGCAAGCATTCTATCACTGAGCTACGACCCCATTCCCACAGCTAACTTTTTCTATTTCTCAATAGAACTGAGGTGAAGAAAAACATTGAACTCATTGATAGCACAGGTGCATTCCTGCATGTTAAAAGAACTTGGTGAATTGAGGGCCTATACAATGTTACATGGAATTGTAATAAATTGCAATAAATAGTTACTACAAGATTGCAACAGTGAAATCAGAATGACAATCTGGAAGCCTCTGGATTTGGTTGATAGGACCTAGACAGCTGGGTGCATTGAGGGGGCGCCAGATGCAGATATGTAACAGGCAGCTGGAAGTAGCTCTGAGCAGGGCTGGAAGGACCGAGTTCATGGGAAGGAGAGACTTGGGTTCTTACCATAGTTCCCTGAGTGTACCTGGGAGCTCTAGCCTCCCTTCCTTTGCTTATTCTATACTCTCATCCTGGGAAGCCCTTCCCCACTCATCAGAGTTCAAAGTTGTATTTCCAGTGAAACTTCATGGACATGTGTATGTATATGTTCCAGCAGCAGGGCATAACGGAAATTTTTCTCTTCCAAAATAGGCTGCTTCTTTTGAATTTCCTGTTTCAGACACTGATACCAATATTTGCTCAGCAGGAAACCTTGGAATCCTGTTCTCTTGTCCTCCTCAAATCACATCCAGTCTCCAAGTACGAGAGAGTCCCCATCTCCAAGGGTGCTTCCAGAGACCATCCCTGCCTGCCCGTCCTCACTGCTTCTGCCTGGGTCTTTGCTGTATCCAGTAGGCTGTCCTGCCATCTCTGCAGTCCTTTTGGCTACCATCTATAATCTTGCAAAACAAGGCAAACTATGACGGTCCCCTTTCCCCAAGAGCTTCCTGTTGCCTATAGAATGATGTTAAGGCCTTCTATGTCCTAGGCCCACTGCTTTCCCACCCACACCATGCCCTTTTATACCCTCAAGCCTTTGCACAACATCCCTTGGTCTGGAATGCCCCCCTTTCTCTGTGGCAGACAATAAATTCTCACCAAACAAACATTCCATGTGCTCTTTTAGTTAGAACTGATGGGTCATGTGTGGAGGTGATATGTGTGCACGTGTTCGTGTGTGTGTGTGTGTGTGTGTGTGTGTGTTTTCCAAGTTGAAGAAATGTGAGTTCTTCATGTTTTTTACTCTTTCTCCTGTACAGAAATCAGGAATGCATGGGATGGAATGAGAGGAGCTGCAGGTGGTACCAGCCCAGATTGCTGAGTCACTACATCAAAGGAGGAACCTGGGCATTGCTCAACTTGAGTTAGTGTATGTGGTAAACCTTTGTTACTGCAGCATGACCTAATCTGTCCTGACTAATACACTCTCATTTTCTACCAGCTAAAAGCTTCATCTTTTAAGTCCCAGCTTAAATGCTAACTCTTTCTTAAAAGCCTTCAGAACCAACCTATCCCAGGTCAGAATTAATGGTTCTCCCTTTGTGCTTTCACAGCATGTGTAAGTCATGTCTGTTTGATGCTTAATGCATATTATCATGGTTGGCTATGTACATGCAGGGTTAGTGACACAGAATGATTAAGAGTGTGAATTCCAGAGCCAGACTGACTGGGTTCATATCTCAGCTCTGTCACTTAGCATTGGGACCTTCAATGAGTTACTTAATCTTCCAGGACCTTGGTACAGTACCTGTTTGCCAGTCTCTGTTTTGTCTCGCAGACAGAAGCACCAGTAAAAGACACGAAGAACCAGAAATGGGAATCAAAATGCAAAGCCAGAAAATCAGAGGCCTTCTACAACCTATCAGGTGGAATAGGTCATGGTCCAGGTGAGGTCTGCAATAGGCTATAGTTTTCTCCTACAAATTAATTCCTTCTGCTGGGACAGAACTCTAAAAGGGAGGAAGATATTAGATCTACCGCTTCAAACCACTTTCCCTGAAGTCATTGTTTTTATGTATGTATCCAGATAATTTTATGATTTTGTTTTTTTCCACTATTGTGATAAATTACTTTGATTGATTTTTAGAATATTAAATCACCCTTGCATTCCTGGAATAAACTCTATAGATGGAAGCTTGGTTTTATTTGCTAGATTTTGCATCTATACTCACTAATGAAAAATTTTTTCTCTTCTCCTGATACCACCCACCAGTTTTTGGATTCTACAACACCAACTAGGCATCCTATATTTCCATCCAATTTTGACACTCATTCCCCAGAGTCAGCATCAGTTCCAACAGATTGAAGGGCTCAATCCCACCAGACTGCCACCACTTCAGATGCCAGTCACAAGTCCTGGACCACTTGTACTTCTGAGCAACGGGCGATAAATCAGGGAGTCCCATGACTTCTCTTCAGGTTCGATAATTTGCTGGAACAACTCTCAGGACTCAGGAAAGTGCTTTTCTTAATGTTACTGGTTTATCATAAGAATACAACTCAGAAATAGCTGAATTGAAGAGATACAGAGGGCAAAGTATGGGGGAAGGGGCACAGAGCTTCTGTGCCCTCTCTGGGTCCATCGCCCTCCCAGCACCTTGATATGCTCACTGACCTGGAAACTTCCTGAGCCCCTTTATTTAGGGGCTTTTATGGAGGTGCCATTACACAGCCATGAATAATTAAATCACCGGCCAGTGGCGACTCACTCAGCCTCCAACCCTTCACCTTTCTCTCCTCCCTGGAGGTCGTGGAGGAGCCTGAAAGCTCCAACTGTCTAATCACACCTAGGTTGTTCTGGTGACCCCCATGTCCCATCCTGATGCTTACCCAGAGGCCTCTCAATAGCATACAGAAGACAACTCTTGTCTCTGTGAAGATTCCAAGAGCTTGGGGAGTTCTTGGAACCAAGAGGAACTAAGGATAAAGACCAACTATTTTTTCGTTATACCACAATGATTGAGACTGGTCTATGATTTTTCTCTTTGTGCAATAACCTAGTCCAGTTTCTTTCTTCTTTTTTTTTTCCTATAGAGGTTATATTGGCCATATAAAAAGAGTTGGGAAGGGTACATGGTTTTTTCTGTTTTCTGGAAGAGTTGGTGCAAGATTGTTATTCTTTAAGTATTTGAAAGAATTAATTGATGAAGCCATCAAGTTGTCAAATAATAGATCCAATTTATTTATTGCATATTGGATATTCTGATTTTCTTTTCTTTTTCTAGTCCATTTTGGAAAGCTGCATTTCTCAAGGAATTTGTCCATTTCATTCAAACTGCCAAAACAAACAAACAATAAAGTTTTTATTTTTTGGTGCTGGGGCAAGTTGTCAATTTTTTGATGTAAGACAATATTCTTTTTGATGTCTGTAGGGTCTATAGTGATGTCCTTTCTAATATTTGGAAGTTTGTGTTTTCTATTTTTGTTGATAGGTATTGCTAGGAATTTATCCATTTAAATACACTATTTTCAAAGAACCAACTTTTTATTTTCTTATTTTCCCCTAATGTATATTTGTTTTCTATTTCACTGATTCATAATCTTTATTATTTTCTTCCTTCTATTTTCCTTAGATGTATTTTTCTATTCTTTCGTTTTTAATATAGAATAAACCATTTTCAGCCTTTCCATTTTTATAAGGTTATAAATTTCCCTGTATGCCTACCATTAGCTATATCCCATGAATTTTCATGTAATGTCCTTTTTTTGGGCACTGGAGATTGAACCCAGGGGTGCTTAACCACTGAGTCACATTCCCAGCCCTTTTTATTTTTTGAGACAGGGTCTTGCTAAGTTTCTTAGGGCCTTGGAAAGTTGCTGAGGCTGGCTTTTTTTTCTTTTTAAAGAGGAATAAAAGTTTATTCTGGGGTTTATGGTTTCAGAGATCTGAGGCCATAGATGGCCAACTCCATTGCTCTGGGCCCGAGCAAGGCAGAACATTGTGGTGGAAGAGTGTGATGTGGGAAAGCAGCTCAGGTTATGGCACCAGGAAGCAGAGAGAGACAGCATCACTCAGCAAGGATAAAATCTATATCCCAAAGGCACACCTCCAGGGACCTACTGAGGCTGGCTTTGAGCTTGTGATCCTCCTGTCTCAGCCTCCTGAGTTGCTGGGGTTGCAGGCATGTATTTGAATGGAAATTTTAGATTCACTTAGAAAAGAAAACCTGTATTGGTCAAAACATTTTCACAAACAGAATGTGGTATATATATTTTAGAACATAAAATTCTGGGGTCAGGGATGTAGTTCCAGTGGTAGAGCACTTGCCTCATATGCATGAGGCCCTGGGTTGGTTCCCCAGCACAGTAAAACAAACAAATAAAATAAAAATGAAAAAACTTCTGTCTAAAGAAGATCTACTTTGTATCCCATAAATACAATACTGTCCATGCAGATGGCTCTCTGAAGAAATGTGTGTGACTTCGCATCGTGTGGCCTTCATTCACAGACCTCCCGACCGTGACCGGGTTTCTTTCTTCTTGCCAAGGTGTCCCCCTCAATTCAGTTCATCTCTGCTCAGGCCAACCCAGCCAGGGCCTCCCAGGCAGCTTTCTGGCTTCCTTCCTTCTGGAGGGAAGTCCTTCCTCAAGCTCCCCAGTCTCTTCCCACATGTTGTTCCCCAAGTTGGTCTGGAGCCCGGTGTCCAGGCTGCTCTAAGAAGTGGCCTGGGCCTGGCAGCAGGGCCTCCCTTTGATGGCACCATTTGTCAACTGTGCTTTGGCCTCCCATGGAGAGGATGGAAAAGGCTCCTGTCAGTGACGACTGATCTGGCAACCAGAGCTTGCCCTGTTTGGGAGGGAGGCGGACTGTTAACATCCTAGCAGCCGCCTTTCACTGAGCACCTACTGATGCCAGGTTTCCTGCTGGAGACTTCTGGGTGGTGTCTTGTTTATCTTCACAACAACTCTGAGGAAAATGCTGTTACTGTCCAGTTCTGAATAAGGAAGTGAGCTTCCAAGAAGTAATGTGCCTGCGGACACCGGCGGTCAGTGCAGAGAGGCCTTGCATCAGGTCTGACTCCAGGGCTAGCGCCACTTCCGTGACCAGCTCACTGCTGAAACCCTGCGACTCAGCTCTCCCGTTTCCCTGGAATTGCAGGAGCTGGACAGGATCAGAGAGCTGGCCCAGCCAAGCCCCTTGTTTCTGATGAGGAGACCAAGACTTGGAGCAGGTTAGTGGCCTGACCAAGGTCACACCGTGATGATGGACAGGCCGGTCCTCACTCTCATGTCTCTGGAGTCCCTTCTCTTACTGTTGGCCGTCATTACAGGACTACTCTCCTACAGTGGGGAACTTTGGCTGTTCTGTGGACCTAATCAATATGTTGGTCTCTGTGTCCATTTCTCTTTCCCAGAAAGGTGTCAATAACAGTTCCCCTTGGACCACCAGTGTGATGACTGCTTCTCTGACTCTCAAGGTGGGGCACTCTGCACTGACCATGACCTTCTTTACTACCTGTGTTTTTTTCCCACCTCTTCCACACTTGGCGAGGAGGGACTGAAGCCTTGACTCACAGTGTGTCTTCTTTTGACACTGACTTTCCAAGTCTGCCCAGCAGCTTTGCACTCGAGGTCATACCAGGCTGGATGTGGATATGCTGCCGCTGCTCTGGAATGACACTGGCCATCCCCTTCTTCAGGGTGATGATGTCTCTCCCACTTTGCTGGCACTGGCTGAGGTCACAGTGCTGCGGCCATCATGAGTGTCTGTTTGAGAAGACCCAGCCAAGCCAGAATTTCTTGGTCTTTGCTTATGTAGCAGCAAAGACCTATTCTACACAATAGTCCTTTTGTGCCTTGACAAGAGTTCCTAAAGGTAGCACATGAAAATAGTACAGAGATGGTTAATTCTGTGCATCAACTTGTCTGGGCCAAAGGATGCCCAGGTAGTTGGTAGCACACTACTTGTAGGTGTGTCTGTGAGGGGGACTCATGAAAAAATTAGCATTTGAATCAGTAGACTGAGAAAGATAGGTCGGCCTCACCAGCTTGAGTGGGCATTATCCAATCAGTAAAGAGAACAGATGAAACAAAAAATAGGAAAAGTTGCTGGGTGTGATGGCGCATGCCTGTAATCCCAGCGCCTTGCGCCTCGGGAGGCTAAGGCAGGAGGATCATGAGTTCAAAGCCAGCCTCAGCAACTTCGAGGTGCTCAGCAACTCAGTGAGACCCCGTGTTTTATTAAAACACAAAATAGGGCTGGGGATGTGGCTTAGTCTTTGAGTGTCCCTGAGTTTAATCCCCAGTATTCTCCCCTGCAAAAAATGGAGAAAAGGTGAACTCTGTATTCTTGAGCTGGCACTTTCATTCTGTCCTGTCCTTGGACGTTGGAGCTTCTGGTTTTTGGACCTTTGGACTCCAGGACTTAACCACTGATAAGCCCCTTCCCTGAACAACACCCATATGAGGCCTTCAACCTGAGACTGAATTGCACCTGTGACTTCCTGGTTCCCCGGTATGTAGATGGCATATTGTGGGAATACTTGGCCTCCACAGTCACGCAAACCAATTCCCAAAGTAAACCTCTTCTCTGATCTCTCTGTATGTCCTATTGGTTTTGTGTCTCTGGAGGATAAGATACTTCCTCTTTCTATCAGTGGGAAAAGTATTCAGTATCTTATTTCAAATATCATAGTTTATAACATTAAACAGGCTACATTCACATATAAGAGAAACAAAACTTTTATGAAACAATATTTGTGATGTACTTAATTACATGTATTATATTCTAATCCATTTTATTCCATTAAAAAAGTATTAACCCCTCCCCAAAGAATTAATTTTAGGACCCCCCGTTTATCATGGGCAGTAGGAAAACACTGCTCTATTGTGCTTGTCTACTTTTTTGTTTTAATTAGACCTAAAAATGAATCTGAAAGCCCTATCAGGCCTCTAGCACAATTCCACAAATTCCAAATATTTAGAAGCTTTGTGGGCTGAATTTTGTCCTCCCTCTAAATTCATATGCTGAAGCCCTAACTCCCAGTAACTTAGAATGTGACTGTATTTAGAGACAGGGCCTGTTAAAAAGGTAAAATGAGGTTGTCAGGGTGTTCCCTAATCCAGCATGACCAGTGTCCTTACAAGCAGAGGAGATGAGAGACACCAAACATGTACACAGACCAAGGGAAGACCATGTGAGGAAGAGAAGGCAGCCACTCAGAGCCAAGGAGGAAAGCCTCAAAAGAAACCAAACTTGATGACACCTCGGACTTGGACTCTAAGCCTACTGAACTGTGAGAAAATAACGTCTACTGTTATTTCATTATGACAGTCCTTACAAATGAACACAGTACTATTAGCCTTTACATATGATTACGCCGTCCCCTCTTGGAATTCTCTCCACCTCCAGACATCCAGTTCTGCATGCACACTTGGCCCTGTATGAGCTGGTCATCAAAGACCTTGCCATACTACCCACACCCAGTGGCAGCCACTCCAAACCACCCACACTTCTCCAAAGATGAGTAGTCCCCACCTCTCTGCCTTTGCTACGAAGGCTCCCTCTGCTGGAAGCCCCATCTCATCTTTTCAAGTTGACAATCATCTCTTCAGCTTCTGAGGCTCACCCCAAGCGTCATTTCCCTCTAAAGTCTTTCCTGAGCTTCTGCTGCCCAGAGACAACAATTTCTCCTGTGCACAGAGAGTCTCCTTAGTAGGCCTGAGACTGCTCTATTGTGCTTGTCTACTTTTTTTTTTTTTGGAAGTGCTGCTTCCAAGGTTGGCCCTTGGCTGGGATTTAGGAGCTTGAATTTTGAGAGCATTCCTTGATTCCCTGGGAACAGGGGCTCACTCTGGCTAGGCTGTTAGTGCAAACTGTGGTATATGTTGAACACCTGCTTTCCTTCTGAGACTCTGGAGGAAAGCAGGCCTCCTAATACATTGTGTGCAGAGGGTGCCTATACCACCAGTCCCCAAAGAAAACTCTGGAAACTATTTATAATGAACTTTCTTAATAGACTTTTCAAACTCATCCTGCTGGAGGAAGAAATATGTCCTGTGTTGAGTCCACTGAGAGAGGACTCTTGGAAGCTTGTACCTAGTGGCTTCCAGACTGCCCCATGTGCCTTATCCCTTTGCTAATTTTGCTTTGGATTCTCTACACTGTAGCAAATTACAGCCAGGAGAATGGCTATATGCTGAGTAGTGCAAGCAAATTTCTTGAGCGTGGGGTGTCTTAGGAATCCCCAACATACCTGTCACATGTTCTACCACATGCCTACATACAGATTTCTTGCATCAACATCTTGAACCTTTCTCTTTTTTATTTTAAAATTAATTTATTTTGGTACTGGGGATTGAATCCAGGGGCACTTAACCA